TTTTGCTGGGTTTATAATTCTTGTTTTGCAGTTTTTTCTTCTAGAGTTTTATATATGTCATAGAATAACCACTAGACTTTTAACCAGAAGGTTGCTGGTTCATTGAAAGCTCTTTATAGGGTTGCTGTGACTCAGCACTGACTTGATGACATGCAATAACAACAACAACAACAACATTGCCTTCTTGCTTGCAAGAAATTTTCTGAGAAATTAGAGCTTAGTGTTAATGCTATAAGGTAGCGTTTTATTTTTCCTGAACTGCTCTCAGGATTCTTTCTTTGTCGTTGGTTTTGGAAGTGGGATTATGGTATGTTTTGTGATTTTCTTTGGGATCTAACCTGTTTGGGGTTTGTTCAGTTTCTTAATTGTTTATTTTCTTGTCTTTTATGATATTAGGGAAGTTTTTGTCTGACAACTCTTTGTTAACGTTCTCTGCTTCTTTTTTTTTTCTTTTTTCTCTCTCTTTGTGTTCTGGAATTCTGATCACATGCAAGTTATTCTTGGTGGGGAGTCACATAATTCTTAGGTTTTCTTCTGACTTTTTTGTTCTTTTTCTGATTGTTCCCTTTAGCAGATTAGTATTGAGAGGTATGTCTTCAATTTCACTAATTCAACCTTCAATTTAATCTAGTAGTTTTCTACTTTGCACTTTCAATGCATTATCTGTTTTTGAAATCTTAGTATTAATGTTCTGGATTTCTATTTGCTGCTTTTGTATGGTTCCTGATTTTTCATTTATTTTCTCAGTTTGTTCTTTCAGTGTTTTCCTGAATTCTTGTAGAATTTTGTCTGTGTTTTCCATGATTTTGTCTGCAACTTTCTTGATTTTCCTCTCAAGTTGTTCAATGTACCTAAGCGTTATTTTGAATTCCTTATCAGCTAATTCCAATGCTGTTTCTTTCTCAGAAAGATTTCTTCATCTATATTTTGGTCAGTTGTTTGAACCACTCTGCCTTATTTTCTTTGTGTGGACTGAAATTGTCTGTTGTTTCTGAGGCATTGTGGTGTTGTATTTGTATTTAATTGATGATTGTGATGTTGGGGGTGGAGTGAAAAGAAGAGAAAAGATAATAGTAAAGAACAAACTAAGAAAGAAAAAGAAGGGAAGTGAAATGAAAGAAAAACAGAAGCAGAGAAAAAAGGAAAGGAATGAAAATGAAAGGATGAAATGTGAGGAATAGGTAGGGCCCAGAAATGAGAGTGGTGGTGGTGTGGCAGGCCTCTGATATGGGTTGGCAGGTCATGAGGAAGGGGAGATGGATGTGATTATGGGTCCTAAGATGGAGTTCTTGCTGGCGTAGAAGGTGTTTGGGGTCAGGGCATCTAATTCACAATTATTTTGTGCTGGCTCAGAGGAAGGCTGAGATCAGGAAGGAAGGTACTTGTTCTCTGAAGGAATTCCTTTGGAGCCAGAGGGCAACAGGGGAAGGACAACTGGTTTGGGAATGAGTTTCTGTCCACCCAGGGGTGGCTTGAGTCAGGCCGCCCATCCAACACTGTGTTCTGGATACCCACAGTTTTTGATATGTAATATTTTCATTACAATTCAGTTTGAATTATTTATAATTTTTATTTTATCAAAAATATAAGTAATTTATTTATAATCTCTGAGTTGCTTAGATACCTGGTTATATTTTGTTATTCTTTAATTCTTAATATCCAGCATAATTTCATTGTGAACATCCTCTGTATGATTTTAGTCTTTTGTAACTTGTTGAAAGGTTTTAGGTCAGTACTTAAAATTATTCTGAGTCCTTAAAAGAAGATGTATGTATTCTGTATATGTGTGTATTAAGTCTTATTCATTAATTTTATATGTTTATTTATTTAAAACTTTTATTGTGAATTGAGTGTTAATTTACATGGCAGAACATTGGTTTTGCACTCATCCTTTGGTATTTCGTTTCATTGCATTGATTACAATCCCCTCCATGCATCATCATTTAACAATATTTGCTTTTGTTCCCTCTGTTTTTTTTTTTAATGCACACAAAAACACTAAGGAATTATATAATCATTTTAACAACCAAAGGGCATTCTGAAAGCCAGCCTCCTGGCCTCCAGCATACAGCCTTTCTCTTTGCATGAGTGTAGAGTCCTCAGCTGCTCTAGGTCTCCATGCCACCACCTCTGCCTCCATCTCTGGTGTTGCTGCTTCTCTGGTTAGGGTCCCAGTTCCGCTCATGTACTTCTCTCTTGATGGTCCTAGGGTTCTCTGTTCCTGAAATGTAAGATTAACTACTCCCCCTCTTTATTTTATACAACTTCTACCTTTATAGTTGTAACACTTGCTATTAGTGATGATAACAATTACTATTGAATCAAAAGAATTCTATCCCCATCTCCTTTCATCAGATTCATCTAGACAAAATAAAACTATTCAGTGGGGATTCTACTTTCCCTCTGAAACTAAGCTCCCTCTTGAAATCCTGTCAGCCAGCCACTTTGTGCCTTTATAGCAGATCGTACCCATTTGACTTGCTGTTTTTACTGATTCTTGTTCTTAGAATCTTAAGTCTTCATGTCAATTTTTGATGGTGTTATGCCATTATGTTTGAACATTTTTATGTGCCAATAATCTGAGAACTACAATGATGTTATCCTGAGTGGAATTAGATAATCTTTATTTTGTTTTGTTTTTGAGGACACATCACCACCATTGCTTTTATATTTTAATAAAAACAAATTGAATGCTCACTTTAAGTTAGGCCTTTTTCTTAGATGCAAGGGATATTATATATTTAAGAGTGATGGCTTTATAGGATAGCACTGGATTGTGAACCACTAGGTCAATGGTTCGTGTCCATCAGCTTTTTACTTCCGCAAAGATTTACTGTCTCAGAAACTTTATACAGAGTTGCTATGAGATGGAATTGACTCGATGGCACTGAACAACAGCAGCATTTCTTCCACTGGGGCTGTGGGAATTGGGATTAATAGTGTAAACATATTCTGGTCATTTCCTGCTTACTCATAGAAATAATGTCTTAATTTATAGTTGGTGATCCTGTTAAAATATAAGCCAAAATCTTGTCATTTATGCTTAACTCCTTCTGCTGTATCATACCTTCCACTTCCCATTATACTTTTAGTAAAAAGCCAAATTCTTATAAGGGCCTATCCTTGTCTTCACTGATTGGATTTTCATTACTCTCTCGCCTTAATGACTCACTCACTTCAACACCTTTGGCTTGTTTCTTCCTTGAAAGTAACAGGCTACCTTCTATTTTAGGATTTTTGTATTTGCTATTCCTTCTCTCTGGAGTCTTGGTGTGGTGCTGCAGGGTAAGTGCTAGACTGCTAACTGTAAGGTCTGCAGTTCAAACACACCAGCTGCTTTGAGATGGAACCAACTCAATGGCACTTAACAGCAACAACATAACTTCTTATGTTTCCCCCTACATATCAGTTTGATTCAAATGTCAGAAAATTTAAGGTGCCTGCCCTGATTGCAGTTTAAAAATTGAAGTTGCTCCTCTCCCTACATAGGTCATTCTTCTTATCTGCCTTTTTATTTATTTTGTGGTCATAGCACTTATTGTCTAATGTACTATTTACTTACTTACTCTGTTTCTAGTCAGTGTATGTCACTAGAATGTTTCCTTCACAGGGGCAGGGATTGTTGTCTCTTTTGTCCATTGTTTTATACTTTGTACCAAGAAGAATGCCTTACACATAATCGATGCTTAATAAATATTTGTTGAATGAGTAGATGACTGATATGCACAAAAGGACTTCTTGCTCTAATATGCTTAATTTACAGTAGCAAGAAAAACAAGAATAAGGCAAACAAGCCTTGCCCTTGTTATTGAAAGTCTTCTGTTAGATCTTCCCTTTCCAGATGGGATGAATACTGTCTTTGTTCATTGTCATTGAGAATTGATTGTTTATTTTCCCCCTGTATTTTTCTGTTGTCAGTCTGTTAAAATCCTTCAACATTATAATTTGGAAACCCTTTTGTCATTTTTTAACAGTACCAAAATATTCTGGACAGACTGCTCTCTAACCCAAGAGTCAGGACTGTCTGTTTCTCTGGAGATTTAGAACCAGTCAGTAAAGATGAGTATAACAGTGTATACCCAGGATACAAAGTGTCTCAAAGGGATCTGCTTCTTAGAGTTCCTTGTGCTTATAAAAAACACAGCCAGATATAAGAGATGGTTTCTCAGTAACTATAATGCAACACAGTTTTCATGCCTGTAATTTTGGCATCATATGTCAAACAGCTCAAAAAGAACTCTTTCAGGGAATCAATTTCCTTTGATAAATTTTTAATGTGATTTAAGTAAAATAACAGGTGTATGTGATATTATTTTATAGTCAAAGAATAATAGAATCAATAGGGAGAATACATAAAATCTGCATTTGTTTAACTCTCACACAGACAACTCAAGTTTTAGCTTTCAGAGTAGTAACTGGAATTCCCAAGAATTCTTGTAAGACAGGTATTTAAGAGCTAAAAATCTATCATATTAGTAGGAATAACAAATTTTGCCCCATGTACTTTGCCTTTTGATGGCTATAGTGATTCCCAGCAGAATTGCCCATTTATACGATTTGTTCCAAATAAGTGATAGTAGGGGGACATAGAAATGTTTTTCTGTACAGTTAAAGATTAGAAACAATATATACCTAGTGTCAAATATTTGGAGAACTTTTACTTATGGAAAGCCAGTAACACTTAATTCTGTATAAAATTAGATATTTTTGAAGATCTATTCTGATTCTGAAATTCAGTGGTTTTATATAAAATGTGACTGATATGTTTGGAAGGTATTTTCAGCGAGATACAATGAATTATAGCCAAAATAGTAAACTGTAGTATAGTAGCCGAAATAATGTTTTAAATTTATTTAAAATAGATATTAATGTTCATTTCTCTTTGCTTTGTCGCCTATGGGCTTGTACTTAAAATTTTCAAAATGAGTAATCACGACAAGATCTTTTTCTTAATGTCTATTATAGAGGTTCCAGAAACTTTAGCAGTTGCAGTGCGGATGACTTTGAAAAGTTAACTTTAAATAAAGGAGGAAACTGTCTTCTTAATGTTCCAAAGCCTGATGAAGCCTATAGTGCCCCTTTCTGTGGTAATAAATTGGTGGACCCTGGGGAAGAGTGTGACTGTGGTACTCCAAAGGTCAGTTTAATTTTTAATTTTTGCTTTGTGAATTTGCCATTGAAATTTGTAAAAGATACATAGCTTGATTTGGGCAACTCTGGTATTGGAGCTAGAGTAAAATTTAGTGTCAGAATGAAGATTGGTGCTTTCATTGAGAGGAGATGTTTTTGTTTTGTCTTTTATTTTATTTTGCTTTTTATTGTGAATTGAATGAAGGTTTACAGATAAGATATATTCAACAAATCACATACTTTGTTTCATCTCCATATTTGCATTCCACCCAGTTTTCTATCCCATCTCAAATTTGTTTTTAGGAAAACGTTGCTTTTTGATTTTGAATGATTGACCATTCCATGGTGAGTATACCTTGCTAGTGTTGTTGTCCCCTCCCTATAATCCTATCTACTACTTGGCTGAAAATTAGGCCACGAGGGCGAGTTCCTTTCTAGACCTATGGTGGTCGAGGGTCATAGTTCTCAGGTGCCTTCAGTTTTTTCTAACCACTAAACTTGTCTTTTTAAAAAAACAATTTTAAGTTTTAGTCTACATTTTCTCCCACTCTATCTGTGACTTTTACATACCATTCAGAGCAGTTGGTATTGGTAGCCAGGTGCTGTTTAGTTTTTCTGGTCTCAGAGTCATGGAGAAGGATCTTGACATATTCCATTAGTCCATTGGGCTAATTGATTCCAAGTCTCTTCATTTCCTATCATTCTTCTTTCTTCTGCACATGGAGAGACCAATAGCTGCACCTTAGATAGCCGTCATGAGCTTTCCAGTCCCCAGGCGCGAGTCACTCAAGCAGGATGTAAAACATTGTCTTTGTGGACTATGTTATGATGGCAGTTAAGCATGGTGTCTCCTGATGCTATGGTCCTCAGCCCCCAGGCTCATCAACTCATTGCTTTAAGATGTTTGATAATATTGTTCAGTTTTCATCGTTTTGCTTTCTGTATGCTCCAATGCTTCATCGCATTCCTAGTCATACTTTCATGAAAGGTAAATATTCATGTACAAATATCCTCTTTCAAATTCTTATATTTTTGTGAGATTATATATATATCTCATTCTTACTCCTGTGTCCATTCAGCTTATGTCTCAATCCATGTATTTACATGCAGGACACTGTTGTACCAAGGTTGTATATATAGATATATATCACTTTTTACCTCTTTCCCCTTTAGCCCATGCCTGTCTCCTTGTGTTTTCACCTGTCTTCATTATTCTTCTGCCACCTTCCCTCTTGTACATTGTCCTTCCCGCTTCTTGTGTATTATCCTTCCCTTCACCTGAGCTAATATGTGTCTATTTTCTAGCCAGTGAATTTCTCTCCTTTCCTGGTAACTATCAAAGAATATTTCTTGTGGTATAGAAACCTTTTCTTAAGCTTTTACAGTATTTGTACAATATTTTTCCTTTTAACTAATTTCATTCAGCATAATGTCCCCTGGGTTCACCCATGTTATGAGGTGTTTCACGGATTCATCTTTATTCTTGAACATTGCATTGTAGTCCATCGTTTTTATGTGCCAAAGTTTGTTTATCCATTCTTCCAATGATGGGCACTTAGGCTGTCTCCATCATTTTTCTATTGTGAATAGTGTTGCTATGAACATTGGTATGCATATATACCAATATATACTTGTGTCCTTACTTGTATTTCTTGTGGCTATATACCCAGGAGAGGGATTGCTGGGTCATAAGATATTTTTATTTCCAACATTTTGAGGAAACACCATAGTGTTTTCCAGAGCAGCAATGTAGTTGGGTCTCTCCATTGCTCTTCACACCCTTGCCAGCATTTGTTTTTTGAATTTTCCTGTCCATGCTGGTGTGATAACTCATTCTTTTAAATCTTTCTAATGGCTAGTGATCATGAACATTTCTTCATATGTTTGTTGGCTGCCTGAATGTCATCCTTCGTGAGTCTTTGGGATTTTCTAAGCATATGATCATATTGTTTGCAAATAGAGTTTTACTTCCTCTTTGCCAATTTGGATAACTTTAATTTACCTTTCTTAACTCAGTAGTTCTGGCTAGGACTTCTAGCACAGTACTGAATAGGAATGGTGATAAAGGGCATACTTGTCTGGTTCTTGTTCACAAGGGGAATTATTTCAATTTCTCAGCATTGAGTGTGATGTTGCCTGTTGGTTTTGTTTTTATATCCTTAATTATGTTAGGAATTTCCCTTCTATTCCAATTTTGTTGAGTGGGTTTTTTTTTTTTTTTTTTTTTTTTGTAAATCAGGAATGAGTGTTGGATTTTGTCAAATGTCTTTTCTGTATCAATTGATATGATCATTTGATATTTTTTCCCTTTGTTTTATATTTATGTGGTGGATTATGTTGATTGTTTGAACCATCATTGCATACCTGGTATGACTCTCACGTGCTCACAATATTTTTTTGATATATTATTGGATACTATTTGCTAGGATTTTGTTGAGAATTTTTGCATCTATGTTCATGAGGGATATTGCTCTATAATTTTCTTTCATAGTGATATTTTTGCCTGGTTTTGTTTCACAGTTATGCTCGCTTCATAAAATGAATTTGGGAGTTTTCCATCCCTTTCTATATTATGTAATAGTGTGAGTAGGAATGGTATCAGTTCTTTTCTGAATGTTTGGTAGAATTCACCAGCAAAGTCATTTGGGCCTAGAATTTTTTCAGTCAGGAGTTTTTTAATGACTTGATTAAAATTTCTTCTCTTTTGATAGGCCTGTTCAAGTTTTCTACTTCAGCCTGTGTTAGTGTAGGTAAGTTCTGTGTTTCTAGAAATTTGTCCCATTTCTTCTATGTTTTCAAATTTGTTGGAGTACAGTTCTTCATATTATTCTGTTATTTCCCTTGCTTCATTGTGACATCACCCATATAATTTCTTATTTGTACTATTTTTATCTTGTACTTCTTTTTCTTAGATTTGCCAGTGGTTTGTCATTTTATTAATCCATTCAAAGAACCAACTTCTTGTCTTATTGATTCTTTTATTTTTCTATTTTTCATTTCATTTATTTCTGCTTTGTTATCATTTCTTTTCTTCTGGTGACTGTAGGCTTACTTTATAATTGTTGAAGATGTTTAGTTAAGGTATTGATTTTGGTTCTTTTTTCTTTTGAGTTGTATGCAATTGTTGCTATAAATTGCCCTTGGAGCACCTCTTTTGCTGTGTCCCAAAGGTTTTGGTAGGTTGTGTTTCTGTTCTCATTAGACTCAAGGAATTTTTTAATTTTAGTATAAAAACTACTAGCCAGTAGCGTTTAAGCAGGGTGTTGTTTTTTTCTATGTATTTAATTTTTTTCCTTGATCTTCCTACTGTTGATTTCTAGTTTTATAGCATTGTGATCTGAAAAGACACTTCGTATTTTTTTTTCCCACCTTTTATTGTGAATGAGTGAAGGTTTACAGACGAGATCATCAGCTTTACAGTCAACAAGCCATACACTTTGTTTCTTCTCAGTGATTACAATTTTATTCACGCAGCAACAATTATACTACTTCCTCCCTGTGGTTCACGATTTACATCTTGTATTTCACAAATGAATATAGCAAAAATATTTAATGCATACCTACAAAACAAAACGAAAAACATAAATGCATTTAAATATCCAAAGGACGTATTCTGCAAGCCAGTTTCCTACCTGTAGGCACATAGTCTTACTCAGTCCGTGGGCCTAGAACCACAGCTGCTATCTGTCTCCATGCCACTGCCTCTGCTGTTTCCACTCTTCTAGGTAGGATCTCAGTGTTCCATTCATGCTCTTCCTTTTTGATGATCCTGGGATCCTCTGTTCCTGAAATGAAAGATTAACTACTTCCCCATTTTAGTTACACATCTTTGACAATTATACTTTTGACAATCACAATTAATCCAGCTAACAGTTACTCACAATTGAATCATAAATTCCTATTAGCATCCACCCCACCCCCATTCACCATCTGGCAAAGAGGAAAACTATTCAGTGGGGATTCTGCCTTACCACCCTGGTTCTGAAACTAAGCACATCCATGAAAGCTTGTGAGGTAGTCACTAGCCTTTGGAACCCCCCATTTTTTATAACCAGTGTCTAAATTGCTCACCCTATTAGTCCTGGTGTGGCACTGTGGGTTAATACACCAGACTACAAAGCCGTTTGAACTACAAGGTCGGCTGTTCAAGCTTACCAGCTGTTCCTCGGAAACCCTATCCAGGGTCGCTATGGGTTGGAACCGACTCGACAGCACTTCACAACAACAAAATTAACCCAGTACATTGAGGAGATGAGCATGTTCCTTTATCTGAAGAGTTTTTCATTCTAGTGGAATTTTGAGCAATTGCATACATAAGCAAAAGTCCAGTCCTTCAAATGGTAACAATTTACACTGCTCACAGTTTCAAACATCTTTATCTTCATTTGATAGGGTTCTTGTCAGCTCAGCCCTAGCTATCCAAGCTAGGTCAAATGGGTACCAGCTGCAAGTTTGGGAGTTCACCCACTTCTTTCTGTACTTTAGCTGGCCCCTTCATTCTCAGCCCTAACCTCCAGGGGCTTGGTCAGTGCCTATGGGCTCAGGAATTCGTACAACTCCCTAAACTTCAGAGCAGCCAACTCTTCCTCTTCTCTCAACTTAAGGCTCATGGGTGCCAGTGGACCATGTCCAAACTCAGCCCGTGTCTTTATTGCTGCATTTCCCCCAATTCCATTCAATAAGTAGACCCAGTTGAACAGCATAACAGAGTGCTCACAGGTTCTCTTTAACTTTCAGTGCCAGAAAGAGGTTTTCTCTGATGGGCAGACTTTTCTTGCCTTGATGTTTCCAAAGCCAACAGCTTGCTTGAAACTCAAAAAGCCACTTTATTTCTGCAGGTCTTTATCACAATAAGAATCTGCTGTTCTCCCAGCAGTTCTGGGTTGGTCTGTCTGCATTTCTTTTCAAGTGCAAATATTCCAACTCTGAAGGTTCTGGGTGGGACTCAGAATTCCACCTAAGGCCTTATAATCTACAAAGACTTAAGAAGTAACTTATTTTTTTTAG